TCCAGTTTCAGAGACTAATAATAGTAATTTGAAAATTGAGTCATAAAAAGTTTTATGTGAGGTCTGTTCCCTTGTTAGTCCATGATAACATTAAACAGATAAAAGACCTTCTGTTTATTCCAGGTTGACATTTTCACTGGAATTCTCAGAATTCCAAAGGCAGAAGTTCAAAGGCAACTGATGTTAACGCAACAGACCAGGCTTTTTAGTTAGTGAAGACAAAGCTTAAGGCGCAAACATGCAGCAGCTGAAAATGGCTTGAGTAAAGGCCTGAGTGAAGGCAAGAAGATACAATACAGCATTTGTTAATTTCCATGAGCTTCTAGATTTCACTCAGTCATTACCGTATTTTCATTCTAGTATTATATTTTGTACAAACAAATTTCATCGTCTGAAAATTGAAGATATATATGTATATATATTTCAAAAATAGACCAAAAATAGACAAAATGTGCTTTTACATAAAAATCCTAATCTATGAAGGTATACACACTTGGATGTCAAATAATAAATCAATCCACTATATTTCAAAGAAAGATGTATTTATTTTTTTAAATAGATGTATAATACCAGTCAAGTACAATTTTACAAAATCAGGTCATTAAACCAGGTCGGGTTAAACAAGGTTTGTTGTTTTAATGAAAGGATTCAGATTCAGTCAGCAGATCTGATTCACTGTAAGCAAAATCATTGAATTGATATCAAACCGCAGCCCTCCTCTTGTCACACCAGAATGTCACTTGAGTGTCCCAGTGCCCCCCTCTGGTTGGCTCAAGTGCCTCTCTGCTATGAACTAATGGGTCAAAAGTAAACATCTGTAATCCAGCCCTGCACGTGAAAGAAAATCTGGATCTTCTTTGGTTGCACCTCTAAAAGCCAATGCTCATCACAGCTGCTTTCAGAAACGGGGTAATGTTTGATACAGTGTTATTGCTCCTTTTGCTGAAGCGTTTACGATACTTTTTATATTACATTTGTTACTGTTCACTCCCCGATTACATCAACACCGTGACTGGCTGCATTTGTGTGGATAAAGAGGTTTATTATTGGTTTTATTTTACACTTTGTTTGCAAAACAAACAAAATTGGACGTGTCACTCTAGATAAGAAATTCAGTCCAAAGTTGTACATTACAGATGCAATCTCTTTGTGATGCAGTGGCTGTGCCATATTTAACATGCTGGTTCACGTGGACAGAAAAATACGTTTATGCTTGTAACACCTGGAAATGTTGATAAGTGTCAGCAGTACCTGCAGGTGTCTGACTCTCTGTGGCTGCCTCCTGTGCTGCCAAAACATCTCTGATCCATCAGGGCGTGCACGAGGTACTGCTGAGGGTGGTCTGTGATGTCTGGCACCAGGAAGTGGATGTTGGCTTTGGGTCCTGTGGTGGTGCTTCCTTAACTGAGGTTGTTCAGGCGCGTCCTGAATGCTCAGCAGGATTCACGTGTGGTAGGTTTAAAATCTGGATCAGGGCCTTTGGCCATTTTGTTAAGTTCTTTGAACAATTCATGAACATTTTTTGCCGTGTGGTGCATTGTCTTACATGTGGAAATGATTGCTATCAGGGAGTGACTTTGACGTTAGATACACTTGACCTGCAGCAGTGGCATCAGTGTAGATGCTACCCTGACATGTAGTGCTCCACATCATTGCAGAAACTCATGCAGAACATTAGATTGTATCAAATCTTTCTTGTTTCTTACACCTTTCAGTGGTTTTAATGTTGTGGCTGAACAGTTTATTTGTGCGGTGTTGTGCAATCACACAAGTTTTGTTTTGTCACTGACGTGACTGTGATCTTCATAACATTCCTCTATGACATAATACGAGCTTCTATGATTTTAACTTTTTAATGATCCTCAGAACTTTTAAATATTGAAAGAAAACAGAGAAGAACTTTTGATTGCAGCAAGAAAGAAGGTAAACCAGGATGATTTTCCAGACACCGGAGGAGAAATACGGTGGCCCTGAGAGGCCAAACGGACTGCAACTTCAGAAAACACTTGCAAATAGAAAAACGCTGCAAAAGCACACACAACGGAAATAGGAAAAAACACAATGGAAATGTTTCTGGGGAGACAATAACCTGACGGACCAGTGAAGTTGCAGTCCGTTTGGCCTCTCAGGGCCACTGTAGAGAAAAGATAAAATATCAAACTAGCCTCACCATTACTGGGATGCTCTTTATGGCCGTCTCCTCCCACCACTCTCACAGCATTTAAGTGTATGAAAAACCAAGCCCATCCTGACCTCCCTGCCATGGCCCCCAAAATGTAATTAAATTCATTTTTTTCTAGTTCCTGTGATATAATTTGATTTGCTGGGCCGCTTTTGTCACGAATCCGACTCCTATTGGGTCCTAACAGGTGACTGAACAGCTTTCAAAATAAAAGAATGTAAATAAAAAAATAAAAATGAGCAAATACAAAACAATAAAAGGTCCATCTACCAATCTACAAAGAAAGACCACACCGAATAAAAGAAAGTGAAAAACTAAAATTGCTTTCACATCATCACAGTCATATCAGTTTATGTTTATCTTAACTTTGACTGGCCTAGAGTTTATTTTGGAAAACTAAAAGTACACAGTATCTACACGATGCGTTAACACACAGAGGTCACAGTTT